TGTAAAGAGACTGAAGGTACATTTTTTCACCTTTGGTGGACATGCCCAAGGATTAAGACATTCTGGGAGATGATTTATAATGAAATGAAAAAGGTATTTAAATATACCTTTCTGAAGAAACCAGAGGCCTTTCTCCTGGGCATGGTCGGCCAATTGGTGCCAAAAAAGGATAGAACTTTTTTTATGTATGCAACAACAGCAGCAAGAATACTCATCGCGAAGTATTGGAAGACACAAGATCTACCCACCCGGGAAGAATGGCAGATGAAGCTGATGGACTACATGGAACTGGCGGAAATGACTGGCAGAATCCGAGACCAGGGAGAAGAGTTGGTGGAAGAAGATTGGAAGAAATTTAAAGTTTATTTACAGAAACATTGTAAAATTAAGGAATGTTAGAAGGATGTTGGAATGAAATAATGTGGCTTTAGCAGAAATGCTATAAAGGATTAGGGAAAAATAGATTGTTAAATGGTGAAGGATGGAAAGTAAAGTTACATTTTATTAAGATAGAATAGAGGACAAAAACCGGAAAAGATGGAAAGGATTTGCTGAAATAGTTAATTGAACTAGAATACAAAAAAGGGAGGTGTGAGGAGGTCAAGGAAAGAAGCAAATGAAAGACAAGTTATGGGAAGATGTATTGTATTGTATTTTTTTGTATTCCCCCCTTTTTTCTTTTTTGTTTTTTGTTTTGATATTATCGTGATGTGATGACTTGTATCTCTTAAATATGCTGTCTTGTTTAACTTTTTCTTTTTGTAACTCTTTAAAATGTAATAAATATCAATTTTTTTAAAAAAAGAAATTTTTTTTTACTTGTTCCTACTTTTTCCTCTCTTGTTTTTCCCCAATTTCATATTTCCGATCTTAACCCATTGTCTTATCACCCCAGTCACTGGTATCAACTTTCAATTGTGTTTAACAAATCCATATTCTCTAGAATCATAGAATCATAGAATCATAGAATCATAGAGTTGGAAGAGACCACAAGGGCCATCGAGTCCAACCCCCTGCCAAGCAGGAAACACCATCAGAGCACTCCTGACATATGGTTGTCAAGCCTCTGCTTAAAGACCTCCAAAGTAGGAGACTCCACCACACTCCTGGGCAGCAAATTCCACTGTCAAACAGCTCTTACTGTCAGAAAGTTCTTCCTAATGTTTAGGTGGAATCTTCTTTCTTGTAGTTTGGATCCATTGCTCCGTGTCCGCTTCTCTGGAGCAGCAGAAAACAACCTTTCTCCCTCCTCTATGTGACATCCTTTTATATATTTGAACATGGCTATCATATCACCCCTTAACCTCCTCTTCTCCAGGCTAAACATGCCCAGCTCCCTTAGCCGTTCCTCATAAGGCATCGTTTCCAGGCCTTTGACCATTTTGGTTGCCCTCCTCTGGACACGTTCCAGTTTGTCAGTGTCCTTCTTGAATTGTGGTGCCCAGAACTGGACACAGTACTCCAGGTGAGGTCTGACCAGAGCAGAATACAGTGGCACTATTACTTCCCTTGATCTAGATGCTATACTCCTATTGATGCAGCCCAGAATTGCATTGGCTTTTTTAGCTGCCGCGTCACACTGTTGGCTCATGTCAAGTTTGTGGTCAACCAAGACTCCTAGATCCTTTTCACATGTACTGCTCTCAAGCCAGGTGTCCCCCATTTTGTATTTGTGCCTCTCATTTTTTTTGCCCAAGTGCAATACTTTACATTTCTCCCTGTTAAAATTAATCTTGTTTGTTTTTGCCCAGTTCTCTAAACTGTCAAGGTCGTTTTGAAGTGTGATCCTGTCCTCTGGGGTGTTAGCCACCCCTCCCAGTTTGGTGTTGTCAGGGGTTCAGGAGCAGAGGCGAGGGCAAGGGAGGAAACAGAGAGCGAGGGGGAGGAGTCCGAAGAAAGGATGAGTGATGACGACGACCCGAGATCTCCGAGCCTCTCCAGTGAATCAGAAGATTCACAGAAAGGAGCGCCAGTGGCCAGAGCAAAGGGGGAGGCTAGGGGGGCACCCCAGGAGGAAGGGACCAGCGGGGGTTCAGAGGGCAGCAGTTGGAAATCGGGGCCAGCGTCCCCAGCAGAGCGCAGTGGAGAGGAAAGACGTCAGGGATCGAGCCCTGGCAGCTCGCAGCAGGGAGGGGGGCATGAGTCAGGAGTGGCCACACCTCCATCGGGGAGCGAAGAAACGGTCAAGCGGAAAGTGGAAGGTTGGGCGCGTGCGCCAAGTTCAAATACACAGGAAGGCGGCGCAGTAAGCAGCCCGGAAAGGGAGCCAGGTCCTAAAGCCCGACGCAAGGAGACAGGAGGGTCCGGGGGGTCAGCGTCAGAGGAGTCCAGGAAGGAAGAGACCACGGGGGGCAGAGGGACCCAGAGAAGGACGGTCAGGCGGAAAAGGTGGAGTAAGGCGAGGATATTAAGTTGGTGTACAAGGGGCGGAGACTCAGACGGAGCTTCGCCGGTCTAGCCATAAGACGTAGAGTTGCACGCAGCAGCTTGGAAATGGAAACTGTAACTCAATAAAGACTTTTATAAAGCGAACGCTGGCTAGCGTGATCCTCTGTGAGCTAGGATCGGAGAGCAACTCTGACAGGTGTCATCTGCAAATTTGATCAGGATGCCCTTGAGTCCATCATCCAAGTCGTTGATAAAGATGTTGAATAAGACCGGGCCCAAGACAGAACCCTGTGGCACCCCACTAGTCACTCTTCTCCAGGATGAAGAGGAACCATTGATGAGCACCCTTTGGGTTCTGTCAGTCAGCCAGTTACAAATCCACTGAGTGGTAGCATAGTCAAGACCGCATTTTTAGTTGGCCTCTTTTCTCTTACTGATAGAGAACCTACATAAGGACTCTATACAGGCTCTTAGGTACCCCATAAGGGATAAAGGAGAAGTTTTTTTTCTTATAACAGGTAGGTAGCCGTGTTGGTCAAAAGAAAATTAAAATTAAAAAATTCCTTCCAGTAGTACCTTAGAGACCAGCTAACTTAGTTATTAGTATGAGCTTTCATGTGCGTGTATCTGAAGAAGTGTGCATGAACACGAAAGCTTATACCAATAACAAACTTAGCTGGTTTCTAAGGTGCTACTGGAAGGAATTTTTTTATTTTGTTTCTTATAACAGTTGGCTTTGGCATTTTGGCCTGGAGAGTCAGAAATCACATCACACACCAGGTTCCTTTGGCTCAGGCAGGCCAAGGGGTGATATTCCTGAGGATTAAGCAAGTTTCACCTAGTTCCAGCCACAGTTTACACAAAACATTTGCAATGGGCAAACCACAACCATTAAGGCCGAGGAGGTCCCTCGATCTAGGAGAGGAATCCCTTCAGGAACTTCCCTGGATGGCTTTCTGCCTCCATGGGGTCTTTCGGAGAGCCAAAATGGCTTTTGGATTTCTCTGCTGCACTGCTCTAGACATGTGGTTTATATACTTATGTATGTGTGTTTGCCTTGTGCAATTATCAATGCGGGTGGCGCTGTGGATTAAACCACACAGTCTAGGGCTTGCTGATCAGAAGGTCGGGGTGAGCTCCCATTGCTCGGTCCCTGCTCCTGCCAACCTAGCAGTTCAAAAGCACGTCAAAGTGCAAGTAGATAAATAGGTACTGCTCTGGCGGGAAGGTAAACGCTGTTTCCGTGTGCTGCTCTGGTTCGCCAGAAGTGGCTTAGTCATGCTGGCCACATGACCTGGAAGCTGTACGCTGGCTCCCTTGGCCAGTAAAGCGAGATGAGCACCGCAACCCCAGAGTCAGCTACGACTGGACCTAACGGTCAGGGGTCCCTTTACCTTTACCTATTCTATATTTGAGACCCTTGAATTTCTACACAGAGGATGAGCACGCTAAACACCAACTTTATGACTGTTTGAGAGAGAATTACTGAATTTAGGACCGAAGCCTTATTAGGAGTCATAGAATCATAGAATCATAGAGTTGGAAGAGACCACAAGGGCCATCGAGTCCAACCCCCTGCCAAGCAGGAAACACCATCAGAGCACTCCTGACATATGGTTGTCAAGCCTCTGCTTAAAGACCTCCAAAGTAGGAGACTCCACCACACTCCTGGGCAGCAAATTCCACTGTCGAACAGCTCTTACTGTCAGGAAGTTCTTCCTAATGTTTAGGTGGAATCTTCTTTCTTGTAGTTTGGATCCATTGCTCCGTGTCTGCTTCTCTGGAGCAGCAGAAAACAACCTTTCTCCCTCCTCTATGTGACATCCTTTTATATATTTGAACATGGCTATCATATCACCCCTTAACCTCCTCTTCTCCAGGCTAAACATGCCCAGCTCCCTTAGCCGTTCCTCATAAGGCATCGTTTCCAGGCCTTTGATCATTTTGGTTGCCCTCCTCTGGACACGTTCCAGTTTGTCAGTGTCCTCCTTGAATTGTGGTGCCCAGAACTGGACACAGTACTCCAGGTGAGGTCTGACCAGAGCAGAATACAGTGGCACTATTACTTCCCTTGAGTCGGGTCGGGATAAGCCTGGAGAAAAGGAGACTGAGAGGCAGGACGAGAGCCAGTGTCTTCAAACACTTCAAGGACTGCCCCATGGAAGGTTTTCTGCTGCCCCAGAAGGCAGGACCTGAACCCAGGGCTTCAAGTTACAAAAAGGGTGATTCCGACCCAACATCAAGAATAGGCTTCTGACAGTGATTGCTGTTTGACAGCGGAACGGATGACCTTGGGAGATGAAGGACTCTCCTTCCTTGGAAGCTTTTAAGCAGATATTGGATGACCATCTCTCAGGGATTCTGTCGCTGAGATTCCTGCCTTGCAGGGGGTTGGACTAGATGACCCTTGGGGTCCCTTCCAACCCAACAACTCAATGACATTCATCTTAATGCCCGTGAAGTCTTCCCTCTCCTCCCCAAACCCCCCAAATCTTGTCCTGCCCTCCATATACACACAGATGCACCAACTCTGCGGCACATTTTTGCAAGTAGCAGAACCCCAAATAAATGGCTAGCAACGATCATAAAAGAAAAAAAAACCCACTTTATTCTCTTTTGGAAAGCAAAAATACAGAGTTGTCTTTGTTTTCCACATGGCGGACGGTGTTCCTTCATGTGTCCCTTCCACTGGAGCAGCCTGGATCCCTGTGGAAGAGGCTGGGATCCCTTGCGTGGGCACAGGGATCAAGCCCTAGATTTCCCCACTCAGGCAGAGCCAACAGCAAAATGCCCCCTGGCAAACCTCCTTGAGCTGGATGAGCAAAGGCAGGCTCTGTGCGCACCGTCAGAGGGGCTTCCTAGGAGCACGATCTCCCGTGGGTTTCCATCAGTCTCTCTGCACACAATAAGTCCCTTTGGCAAGTCCTCCTGGGCCAGCCTGCGGCCTCCCCAGCTAGTTCTCTCCCGCCTCGTCATAGACGGGGTTGACGTAAGCGCCACTCTTGGGCTCTTCTGCAAAGTCCTTCTGGCTGGTGGGCGGCCACTTTGCGTCCTCCTCCAGCTGCCACTGCAGCTTCCAGTACTGGCTGGAGGAGCGGAAGCGGAAGAGGGCCTTGATCAGAAGCCAGAGGTGGTGGTTCTGCAGGATGCCATCCTACAAATGATAATGATAATGATAAATAATAATAGCTTATTTATACCCCGCCCATCTGGCGGAGTTTCCCCAGCCACACTGGGCGGCTTCCAATCAAGTGTTAAAAACAATACAGCATTAAATATTAAAAACTTCCCTGAGCAGGGCTGCCTTCAGATGTCTTTTAAAGATAAGATAGCTACTTATTTCCTTCACATCTGAAGGGAGGGCGTTCCACAGGGCAGGCGCCACTACCGAGAAGAACATGGGAGCATGAGAAAGGGGCCCATCCATTCTTAAAAAAACCAGAAGCATTTTTACTTGGTATTATATGCCAAGGTATTAATAGACAAGATGTCAAACTGTTCTTATATGCAACAACAGCGGCAAGAGTATTGTTAGCCCAGAAAAGGAAGCAAGAAGACGAAAGAAGAATGGCAGATGAAATTAATGGACTACGCAGAATTGGGCAACATGACAGGAAGGATTTGAAACTTGCCGGACCAGAGATTTACAGAAGATTGGAAGAAGTATATGAATTATTTGAAGAGAACTGTAATCAACAAATTACGCTAGTAGGACTACAAGAAGTTTTTTTTTTTTTAACTTAAAATTTTTATTAAGTTTTAACAATACACAATATAACAAGAAAAATACAAAGACAAAAACAAGAAAAATATAAAAACACAACATACATACTACAAAATACCACACTACAAACATTAAACACAAAAATACAGAAATACATACCTTAAAAAGCTAATAATAAAAAAGAAAAAGCACATATAAGAAAAACACAAAAATTCCCTGTTTCTTGGTTTTATATCTTAAATTCACATATTTTCCTGACTTCCTCACATCCCCTGTTCTTGTATCCCTTTTAAAAGTTGGTTCAGCAAATTCATAACCCTTGGTTTGTCTATTTATTAATTTAGTCTTAAATTTTATCTTATTGCTAGAGCCCCCACAGTTCATTTCAATGTCATCAACATTCAGAAATTTTACAGTGTTTCTGCAGATAAATTTTAAATTTCCCCCAATCTTCTTCCACTTGCTCTTCTCCCTGGTCTCAAATTCTGCCAGTCATCTCCACCATCTCCATGTAGTCAATTAGTTGCATCTGCCAGTCTTCCACGGTGGTTAGATCTTCGGTCTTCCAATGTTTTGCTATAAGAATTCTTGCTGCTGCTGAGGCGTACATAAAGAAAGTTCTATCCTTCTTTAACACCAATTGGTCAACTATGCCCAGGAGAAAAGCCTCTGGTTTCTTCAGGAAGGTATATTTAAATACCCTTTTCCGTTCATTATATATCATTTCCCAGAAAGCCTTGATCCTTGGGCACGTCCACCAAAGGTGGAAAAAAGTACCTTGAATTTCTTTGCACTTCCAATATTTATTATCGGGCAAATGATATATCTTTGCCAGCTTGACTGGGGTCATGTACCACCTATACATCATTTTCATAATATTCTCTCTTAAGGCATTACATGCCGTGAATTTAATTCCGGTGGTCCACAACTTCTCCCAGTCAGCGAACATAATGTTATGACCTATGTCTTGTGCCCATTTTATCATTGCCGATTTTACTGTTTCTTCCTCGGTATTCCATTTCAACAGCAAATTATACATTCTCGAAAGTGTCTTTACATTGGGTTCTAACAATTCTGTTTCTAACTTTGATTTTTCCACCTGGAAACCAATTTTTTTGTCCAAGTTATAAACCTCTCTTATTCGACTACAAGAAGTTTTGTAAGGAGAAATATACAAGAAGATGAAGATGAAGAAGAAGAAGAAGAAGAAGAAGAAGAAGAAGAAGAAGAAGAGTTTGGATTTGATATCCCGCCTTTCACTCCCTTTAAGGAGTCTCAAAGCGGCTCACATTCTCCTTTCCCTTCCTCCCCCACAACAAACACTCTGTGAGGTGAGTGGGGCTGAGAGACTTCAAAGAAGTGTGACTGGCCCAAGGTCACCCAGCAGCTGCATGCGGAGGAGCGGAGACGCGAACCCGGTTCCCCAGATTACGAGACTACCGCTCTTAACCACTACACCACACTGGCTCTAAGTGTTACAAAGTAGAAAAAGATAGAGATATTGGTTATGAGTTTGAAATGTAATAGGGAAAATAAGAAATTCATACTAAGAGATTAGATTGGAAAATTTTCAGGCAGGACTGATGGAAGTAAAAAAAAAATGAAGAAGATGTAAAAGTATGTTTAATCACTGTTGAAAATGGTATGTTAAAAAACTAATAAAAATTTATATATATAAAAGAGAAAGGGGCCCGTCCAGTCTAGCATCCTGTTCTCACTGTGGCTGACCAAATGCCCCTGAGCGAAACCCACAAGCAGGATCCAAGCACAAGAGCATCTTTCAAGCCTCCTGGCCTTCCAAAGCAGAGCTGCCTCTGATCCCAAAAGCATCTGGGGGAAAGTTGCCGCTTTGGGAATTCAGTGGCTAGTTTAATCACTGGGGCAAGATGGTTTAAGGCTATTGCACCGATCCTGGCCCGACTGCACCGGCTGCCATTTAGTTTCCGCTTTTGACCTCTAAAGCCTGAAATGGCTCAGGACCACAATATTCCCCACGTGAAGCGACCCGGATCCTAAGGTCATCTTCTGAGGCCCGTTGTCGTGTGCCTGCCCTGCAAGAGGAGTGGCCCCATGAGAACAGGGCCTTTTCTGTGGTGGCTCCCCGCTTGTGGAATGCTCTCCCCAGGGAAGTTCACCTGGCACCTCCATTACACATGTTTAGGCACCAGGTGAAAAGGGTCTTCTTCAACCAGGCCTTGGGATGAACAACATGCTATGCCCTTTAAAATGTGTTTGGGGTAGGGGGGTTATTGGGGTCATTATTAGGATTAGGATTTTGTGTCTTCATTTTGTATTTGTTATGTTGTAAACCGCCCTGTGATTTTCAGATGAAGGGCAGTATATCAATTTAATGAATCATCATCATCATCATCTGTTGGTGAGCAGGAGGAGGATGCTGAGCCTGAGGGATCACTTTCCTGACCCTCTTTAACCCCCAAATCCCCTCCACATCCCCTGAACCACCACCAGCAGGTTCCCACAACCCCTGGGAGTAGGTAGCGTTCTGCTGCAAGGGAAAACTCTGAGCCAGTTCCTGGGGAAATGAAAAGCTGTAGCTCAGAGGCTGAGCGTTGGCCTTGCAAGCAGAAGCTCTCAGGTTCAATCCCCGCTGGGACCGAGAGACCCCTGCCTGAAACCGTGGACAGCTGCTGCCGGTCCGTGTAGACAGCATTGGGCTAGATGGGCCAGCAGCCAGACTTGGCGCAAGGCAGCTTCCTGAAATCATGCTCGCCTGCTCACCTCCACAAAGAACGAGATGGAGAAGGCCACCAGCAGCATCAGCAGCACATAAACCCTCCAGATCGTTGGGGTGCAGTTGACGGTGACCAGTGGCCAGAGGGTGGTGTCCTCATACCTCAGGACGGAGTGCTTCGGGGCTGTGGTTGCAGGCTTGTGTGAGCCTCTCACTATTATACAATGTTAGGGGACATTCGGCACAGAAACATGTGTGTATACCTTTAAGAAGTTTCTGGGATTAATTGGCTGCAGCTGGCCGTTGCTATAAAGGAAAAAAGCTGAGTTTTGTAGCCTGCCTGCAGGAATAACATCCACCAGAGTTTGTGTTTATTATTTTGTAATAAAGTCTTCGTTTTAGTTTAGGTTTTTACACCTATGTCTCTTAGAGTCACTCTGTCCTCTGCCACCAGCTGGAAATCTCCCCCTCCAACAGGTTATGGGCCCAGTCCCCAGTCCTGAGTGGGCAGAGACAGAGCTTGAAAGGAACCCAGAGTCTGGAAGTGACTCAGCATTTCTCAAGCAGCTGGCTGTGTGAAGCCGTCGGCAGGGAGTGTCTGTTTGAGACCAGGAGCCGAACATTTCTTCAAGCCACGTGTGAGTAAGGACTGAGTGGAAAGCTGAAAGCTGGGTGGAGCCATGGCTGGACTTGGAGCTGGAGCTCAAGGGGGAACTTCCTATTTTCCAGTAGAGAAACTGGGAGAGTCCAATTATATGTCATGGAGTTTCCAGATGCAGGCGTTTTTAAAGAAAGAACAATGTTGGACTGTTATTGTTAACCCTACTGTAAAAGAGGAGGATGAAGAAGTAGATGAAGCAGACCAAAGGCTGGAGGACAAAGTCTATGCCAATTTAATTTTGAGTTTAGAGAAGTCTCAGTTATCTCATGTGCGAGACTTTGAAACAGCAAGTGAGATTTGGCAAGCACTGGAGCGATACACATTAGAGACACTGCTGGCAGCAAAATTACTCTAATGAGAGCTCTGTACCGAGCCAGACTAAGTGAGGGTGAATGTGTTTCAACACACCTTCAAAGAATGCGTGATTTATTTTCACAGTTAAATGAACTTGGGGAACATTTTTCTGAGCAGAGAAAGGTTTATATTGTGCTGTCTTCACTCCCTGAGTCATGGGACAATTTAGTGATGACTCTGAAGGCAATTCCAGAAAGCCAATTAACAATGCATTTCTTAACTGGGCGTTTGCTTGATGAGGAGGAAAGATGCCATGAGAGGAAGGCCACAACCCCTCACCGTAACTCCAGAAATGGGAGGCAGTCCAGTAAAAGATATGCAACTGATGAGGAGCGGCAACCTAAAGAGGTTGTTGACCACAGAGGGGAAGCAGCTTTCACAATCAGAAGATGCTATCGTTGTGGGTCAACTAAGCATTTAGTACGTCAGTGCACTGTGTCTGTGGCAGAAAACACAAGAAAAGGGCGGCCTGCGTTTGCTGGGAAGCGAGGAGACAGGAAGAGTCGAGTCCAGTATGTTTCTGCAGCAGTTCGAGGCACCAGTCACGACGTTGGACAAGACTGGATTTTAGACTCAGCAGCGACAAACATTTTTGTTCTGCACAAACCCTTGTAGAAAAGCAGCCTTCTAAATCTGTAAATGTAGTACTAGCTGATGGAACAGTGCATGAGTCAGCTGGAAAGGGTAGTGTGAATATCAACTGTTTAAGTATCAAGTTTACCAATGTTTTATGTGTACCAAGTTTAGAAAATAATTTGCTTTCAGTTACAAGTCTTGTTAAACAGGGATTTAAAGTAACCTTCTCTGGTTCAGGCTGTAAAATAGAGAAAGCTGGAAAAGTGGTTACAGCGTCACTAAAAAATGGTTTGTTTTGCAAGACCAGCTAGTAAGTGAGTCTGGGGCATGTGTTAAAGCCTGTAATAGAGCCTTGCATGATGAGTGCCAGCATCTGTGGCATCATCGTTTGGGGCATGCCAATTTCCGCAGTATTGCAAAAATGCCAGAATTAAGTAAGGGAATTAAAATGAAAAAATACTCAGTTTTTCTGGACTGCAATACCTGCAAGGAGTCTAAAAGTAAGCGGGGGTCCTATCCTGAAAGTACTAGAATTAGCAAGAGGCCATTTGCTTTAGTACATTCAGACCTTTGTGGGCTATTTGCAGAGTCTGAAGGAGGAGCAAAGTTTTTTTTGGTTCTTGTGGATGATTATAGCCGGTATACTTGGGTATACTAGTTAAAACACAAAAGTGAAACTGGTCAACTGATTAAGAATTGGGTCAACTATATAGAAAGGCAGTTTCCCTACAAAGTTACCCAATTGCATAGTGACCGTGGAGGCGAGTTCATGTCTGAAGCTCTCCAGGTCTGGTTGAAAAAGCGTGGTATTAGTCACCGTAAATCGTGTCCTTTTTCGCCTGAAGAAAATTCAGTTGCAGAACGCAAGATAAGGTCTTTACAAACAATGCTAGATTCTATGCTATGTGATTCTGGCTTATCCATGAAGTATTGGGGGGAAGGAATTCTGTGTGCTAATTACATACAGAACAGATAGGTAGCCGTGTTGGTCTGCCATAGTCAAAACAAAAAAATTCCTTCCAGTAGCACCTTAAAGACCAACTAAGTTAGTTCTTGGTATGAGCTTTTGTGTGCATGCCCACTTCTTCAGATACACTGAAACAGAAGTTGCCAGATCCTTCTATATAGTGAGAAGGTGGGGAGGGGTATTACTCAGAAGGGTGGTGGGAATGGGTGATTGGCAGATAGCTGTGATGAGCCTGTTGATGACTCTTAACGATTGCAATAGGTCTTACAGGAAAAAGCAAGGGGTGAGAAGGTGAAAAATGGCTTAGTCATGTATAATGAGATAAGAATCCAATGTCTTTGTTCAGACCAGGTCTCTCCATGGTTTTAAGTTTGGTAATGAGTTGCAATTCAGCAGCTTCTCTTTCCAGTCTATTTCTGAAATTCCTTTGTAGTAAAACAGCTACTTTGAGATCTTGTATAGAATGTCCTGGGAGACTGAAGTGTTCTCCTACTGGTTTCTCTGTTTTGTGATTCTTGATGTCAGATTTATGTCCGTTTATTCTTTGGCGTAAGGTTTGGCCTGTTTGTCCAATATAGAGAGCTGAAGGACACTGTTGGCATTTGATGGCATACACAATGTTAGACGATGAGCAATTAAATAGTCCCAAGATGGTATGTGTGATGTTGTTGGGGCCTGTAATGGTGTTGTCCGGGTGTATGTGGCAGCAAAGTTGGCATCTGGGTTTATTGCAGGCTCTGGTGCCAGTGTCCGTGTTAAGTCTGGTTGTAGTATTATTGTGGGTTAGGAGTTGTTTAAGATGGGGTGGCTGTGAAACCGACTTCCGGCGGAACGCACCCTCGCAGCGAGAAGGGATTTGGGTGAGAGCAAAAATCCCAACCTACAAAGGGAGGAAAAGGGGGTGCAGGAGGGCGGAAAGCACCCCAGATACACCTCCGGAGGGTGTCCGAAGGTACAGGGGCCCAGCAGGGACCGGTTGCGGCTCGCCTCGCCGTCAGGTAACCTCCAAAAGGGGTGAAGAGAGCGGCGGAGCTGAGCAGCAGGTCAAGGGCAGCCATATCTACCCTCCCAAGTAGCGGAAAGCCCCAGTCTCGCCGGGGGATAGCGCTCCGCTTTCAAGCACAAGAAACCGGGGAGTAAGCCAAATTTGGATAGTATAACTTTTTTGGAACAGAGAAACCCAGTGGAAAATAAACTGTTTATGGAGTTCAGCCTTTGTCAGGAATCAGCGAAGCCGCAGGAGAGCACCAGAGCGTGGAAAAAGAAAGTGAGCTCCCCTAGTGACTGCTTTGTTTCCCTGAAAGACTCCTCATTAAAGTATCCGGTCCTATAAAAAAACGTAGGACTGTTTAAAATAGGACTGTTTAAAACAGGGAACAGAGGGTAAAGTTTTTATTTTGGAACCGCTTAATGAACTGTGGGGGAAGGTGGAGAAGGAGCTTTTCTCTGTGCTGACTAAGAACAGTAAAGTGAGAGCGGAAGAGAAAGTGCCAACGCCATTAGGAGAAACGGAAGCGTGCTATTTACAAATCAACAAAAGACTACTTACCATCGCAGCTCGGATTGGTCTGGTTTGAGGTTCTCCTCTGCCTGCCTAGCTTCTGTGCTGGTGTTTTGGTTTTGGGCTAGAAAGATCTTTGATTTTCGATAGCTATTTAACGATCAGTTTCTCCCTCTGCAGTTGGACCCCTCGGGCTGCTCTCGGAGAGAGACTGCCTTTGGAACGGAGCAGCAGGGGAGGGTGCCACCTGGTGGACGAAGTATACTATTGCAATCTGGACTTCCTTTTTTTTCTGTATATATTTACTTGCTTTACACACGCTCTTTGCCTCCCTCTAACTCCAACCCTTTGGAGCAGAGCAGCATAAGAAGGAGTCACCTGGTGGACAGAGTATACTATTACAATCTGGACTTTCTTTTTTTTTCTGCATACATTTATTTATTTGTTTTACACATGCTCTGTGTTTCCTTCTAACTCTAACCTTAAAGTTTACTAAGTTAGACTCTTCAGACTGCGCTCGGAGAGAGACTGCCTTTGGAGCAAAGCAGCAAAAGAAGGAGCCACCTGGTGAACAGAGTATAATATTATAATCTGGACTTTCTTTTTCCCCTGTATATACTTATTTGTTTTATACATGCTCTTTGCCTTCCTCTAACTCTAACCCTAAAGTTTACTAAGGTCTGAACCTCTACTCTTCAATTGTAATTTAGGAAAACCTTTTATGAGCAACTCCCTCACTGTGTTTATGAGAATTCAAGAGTTTAAGAACTTAAGAATTTGAAGTTATCCCAAAGAGGCCGGTGCCACCTGGTGGACGGAGTTTACTATTACAATCTGGACTTCCTTTTTTTCTGTATATATTTACTTGCTTTACACACGCTTTTTGCCTCCCTCTAACTCTAACCCTAAAGTCTACTAAGTTAGACTCTTCAGACTACTTCTGGAGAGAGACTGCCTTTGGAGCAGAGCAGCATAAGAAGGAGTCACCTGGTGGACAGAGTACACTATTATAATCTGGACTTTCTTTTTTTCTGTATACATTTATTTATTTGTTCTACACATGCTCTGTGCTTCCCTCTAACTCTAACCTTAAAGTTTACTAAGTTAGACTCTTCAGACAGCGCTCGGAGAGAGACTGCCCTGGGAGCAAAGCAGCAAAAGAAGGA